AGCTTTTAAATGCTCTTAGAAGCTCATGTGAGGCTCAAAGTGGAATAGCCATTTGTTAAGTCATCTTTTGACTCCACAAAGTAATGGTGATTCTAAACCTGAAGTCAAGGATGTATTTTCTACACTAGGATTTCTTATTATTCTCACTTGTAGCAAGAGAAGTGAGAAAGATATATTTATCTCTGTTGTCTAATCCTGGATTTATGACTTCTTAATAAAAATCGCACACACTTGTTTGAAAGACTATGAAATTGTTCCAATTGTTGACTATTCTTAGTCAATTTATGGATATAAATTCTGGTTTTTCTGGTAAAATCTCATGCGAGGGTTAATCAAGGTGTAATTCTCGTCGTCGTCACCTCAGAAACTCATCAATCTTTAAGCTGAAATGCCAAGCTATCATCTGGGCAGCTTTGGCCGAAGGAGCCAAAAGTGACGAGGAAGACCTTAGCCTGAAATCTCTGAGTGTGTGTGTGTGGAAATCCGCTTAAGCAACTGTTTTTCTGGTGGACTGATTCCAATTTAGCATTCGCCATTGCCTTTGTCTCGCTATCAACGGCGCCCGTCCCGCGCAATCAACGCCGAAAGTGTGGGCGCAGGAGAGCGGCAAAAAAGGCGCCTCCGCTGATGTCGGGGATGAGCGACCGGCAGCCAGAAGCGTCCGCATTAGTGCTAATATCCCAGATAATCTGACCACTAAGCTGTAATTACATGAGGCGACAGAGCCATCAGCATTATCCGCCGCACGGAGGATCGGCCTCCAATTGAAATTAATCTCAGAATTTTCCCTCCACGCCCGACAATCCCACGAGATCCCCAATTCTGGGTGCTCAACTTCGACATTTCGGGAGTTTATTTTGTAATCCACCATTTTCCACCCTCGCAACACCCAGTTCTATCGTGTCGGAGAGGCGCGGTGGAAAAAAAAAATTGTTGAAAAGCACCACCGCACCAGAAAAGTCATAAGCCATAAATTTCTCGCCACTTTGTGTCAATTCCAAACAATGTGACTTTTCACACGCTTTCATTAAACTGAAATCATCATAAACAAGCTTTTAGATTATTGCGCTGCCTGAATGGCGATGGGATTACATTCACTCCTCATTCCATTAGCTTAATTTTTGCGCGCGCGGGAAAAAAAGCCAGCTAGAGTTGAGCTTCCACCCCAGCGATGAGTCATTAAAAAAATATTGAGAATATTTCTCGTTCTTTTCACCGCCATTTCCGCACACCCACCCGTCAAGACCACCCCCCTCGAGAAGACGCGGAAAAGGAGGAGAGTTCCTCAGACACGCCGAGTCACAAAAATAGAAACCATTATTTCCCTTTAGTTGAATGCGAAGGAGAGAGAAAAACAAACTAATCAATATTTGTCAGGAGGGATTTCGCTGGAAAAAAAGGGTTAATCACCCTTAAAATTTAAGACATGTGGGAAGGAAAAGGCATGAGGATTAGGGAGGAAATCCTTCTGCGATGTGAGCAAGGAGAGAAGAGGGCGTTCAAATATAGTTTATCTCACTTTCTTGAGACCTTTTACTGAGCTCTTAAATTAACAAAGTTTCTCTCATGCTGGCGAGCACTTTTCCGCCCCTCGACGAAACGCGAAAATGCTAATAAAGAGAAGCCGAAATACATGAGAATGGAACACATGAGCCTCATCCCTTGGGAGTCGCCCACCCTTTGCGTGCCACGCACTTCCACTGAGGGTGACTTTCCCGGAGACCAAATGCAATTCCCTCCACAAATCCACAATCAAATGCCGTCTTTCTCCCCCTCTCCCCAATGAGGGGCTGCACGGGGTTTAGCTGGAAAATGGACAGGATGAGTCTCATACTGAAGTTTCACTCCCACGCACGTCTTTGGTTGCGTTTGCCAAGGAAAACACATCACGAGAGGAGAATTCTTTTCTTCTCTTCCATTTCAAATTGTCGTCTATCCACATCCGGGGGTATTTTTTTCCACCCCTATTCTTCTGTTTGTTTGTATCACTCGCAAAATTGTGACAATGGAGTTAATGGTGAAGTGGAGGCATGGAGGCTTTAAAGGGTGGCTCCAAACCCCTCAATCGATTTACACAATATCGACAGCCAGTGTTAGAGTATCACCCAGAGCACCATTGCGATCTGGAGTGGAGGCTGAGGCGCGGGTGGAGAACACTCACCCTTGATGAAAATATAAATGTCTAAATATTTGCTGGTCGCATGTTACGGAATAATTGCTCAAATGACATACAGGAAGGGTTGTCACGGGCGCACAACAAGTCGATTGGATACGGAAAATGTTAATCCAGAGCCACAGAGAAAAAGGAGACTGGCCGTGCGCCTGTGTTCGATAAACGCGTGACCCTTCAGATATGTATGAATACATCGCGCGCATTCAATTGTAATGTTACACGATGTGTTGCATGAGGGTTGCTATCCACGCGACTGAGGGTGGAGTATTTCCACCCTCTCGCAACTGTTGTGTTACCAACTAATGGAAAAAGAAGAAAATTAGACTTTCAGTGCCCGGTGTGGCGTAGAGAGATGTTGAAAAGTGGTCAAAATCGCAAGTGAATGAGGAAATCCCACTTCTGACACCAAATCTCTCACGAGACTCTGAGATATCGCAGTGAAATATCTTGAATATTGTAGCAAGGGAGGCGCTTAAGGTGATATCGTTGAACCCCTCCTGAGATGCCTAATTAAAATTCACGACATCACTTCGGAGAAAAATCCCACGAAATCAAGCTTATTGAACGGCAGGCGAATGCTGGTGGCTTCTTGGCCGGAAGAGGAATTTGCAAAATTGCGTGTTTGTTGCTGGATGGGAAATGGTTAAAAACCTCCCACTTGAGGGTGTGTATTTTTGGTAAAATCGTGTGATTCTTTCTCCCCAAAGGCAAAGAGGTCTCAGTGGTATGAATGGAGAGATGGAAAGTTTCTCCAAACTGAAAAGCGAATGCACTTTAATTCTCCAAACTTATGATGAATATCATGCAGAGTTTGCCATGAAAGTGGCACGTCTTGGCTTTGTGGGGTGAGTTTGTCTTTGGAATGTCTGATGGATTGACAAGTTCGAAATGAAGTTTACCTAAAATCTTATGCGAATGTTTTAGTCTCTCCCATTGGAATTCCACCATCAATTTATTCCTCACTCAAGTTCAGGCGAGCATTTTGTTGACTGATGGATACTTTATGAGTTTTCCACTTCGACAGGTGGACAAGTGGATTTCGATTGGTAAAATGAAGTTTTGCACTGTCGAAACTTTATTTGAATGATCAAAGGAAAAAGTGTAGACATCCAATGGATGATGCTATGAGCAGAATTTTTGGAGAAAAATCGAAGAATTCCACCCTCTCTTCTCAGAGATGATGTGAAAAATTAAATTTACGTGAGGCGTGTGACAAAATCTATTGAATTATCGGCAGAGAAACTGCACTGAATGGCAATCTTTCACCACTAATAGGAGTTCACACTATGGCTTGAATTAGGTTCACGAGTGCCTGTGGAAAATTATATCCATCTGGTGGAAGCATTTTCGAAGCGGAGGGAAAAAAATTCACAAGATACACTTCACATATGGCGCTTTTTGTACACCCAGAAAAACATCCCACATCTCGGTGGTGCACTTCCACCCTCTCGTGCCATTGCCCTCGTCCTGGCGCGCGTATTTTCTCAGCAAACACAGGGCGAGACGCTGCCTCGGAAGATGAAGAGAATCACCCTCTCAGAATTGCATTACTTCCGTCCTTGCGCCATTCGGTGTGTGCTCATGAAGAGAAATTCCACCCCATTTGAGTGACTCATTGCACAATATAATGATTTATTTTTGACCTTATCAATGCACTGGCAGCCATTTCACCCCATTATTCTCCATCCCTTATCGCATGGCGCGCCGCCGTTCCCAAATCATCGTCCAAACTGCTCAAGTGTGACGAATTCGCCGACAAAGTGTCTGCCGAGACTCAGAGGAAAATTAGTGAGTCCGCACGCTTTCATGTGCACAATTAAAGCGGATGTGTATTTTCTTTCTATGCCCTCTCTCCTCCATACCACTTTTCTTCCGTTCCTCTGCAAAATCCCGGATTGACTGACGTTCTAATGGGAACAGAGCATCGATTCAAGGGAGAATAATATTCGACACGTAGAAAATATGATATGAAAGCCAATTTGTTCATTACTGTTTTCTAAAACAACACACTAAATAAAATTGTGAACATCTTTGTCAGATTATTGATCTCTTTGATCCGCATATGACTAGCCTATGATTTTCTCCTAACTTGCCGATAGAAGTTCTTAGTGCATTATTTATTTGCGTTAAATTATTTGAAGTTATCGACATTTATCGATACTCATTGGGTGCAATTTCCTTTTATAACACAATTTCGGGAGGAAAATATTTGAAATCAACAATCTAACGACTAATTAAGCCTATCAAAATATCAGTCCTATTTTTCTCTAACATTGTATTAAAAAAGAAAGGAAATTACCCACAATTCGTATCGATAAGTATCGATAAGTTCAATCAGTTCAACTCACAGTGTTTCACTTGCAGTTATTGCATCTGATTCTGCTTAATGAATTCACCGTTTTCTGAAGATGATGATGAGAGAGACTTTTAATCTTGACGCCAATTGTCATTGATACACCTACTAAAGGCTCCTCACTTCATTGACTCCCGCAAGACCGGCAAATTGCCCAAACCCTCTGTCTCGCGCGCCCAAAAAATCGGCTTTCTTGCCATGCACGCCATCGCGCACCGTTGCCGCACTTCACGCGAACGCTCTTCTCTCTCAATTCTATGGAATCTCCGAGAGAGAGTCTCTCTTCGTCAGCACTGTCGACGGCACTTTTGCGTGTGGCGTTGTGAGTGAGGCCACAGCGAGTGGGAATGAGAGGGTCGTAACAGCGACAGTGCGCCAGAGAGGGAAGGCTGGCGGTTACCTGAAGCGGCAGATGTTCTCGCCGTTCGGGTCTGCATTTGCCAGCACTTTCGATTCATGAGCAGTGTCAGTAGAGAACTCGCATTGGTTGTGTTCGGACGCTTTGGAGAACGGTCGCTGTTTGGGATCCCCAAATCGACTTGTCGAGTGAATTGTCTCTTGGTGATGATACAGTGACAGTGATTTGTTCTATCTTTGTCAAATGATTTCACTCAATTGAAGTGCACAAAGTGGTTATATCGAATGGTCTATTCAACCATTTCCTCTTTCAAACACTGAAAGCGGTCTCACCAGTGTTTCAATTCCGCCTCGTTTGGCGCTTGTCTTTGCTCAAAAAAATCTCTCTCACTCTCCCCAAATACGAATTGGAAATATAATCATATCGATATACAATCTCATGGAATTAATGCTGAATTCGTGACGTTATTGTGATTTCTTGTGCTATTTCAAACCATTTGATCTCTTAGTCTCGCTGGGCGAGAGTTTTGGGAAAAGTAAGAGATCTCATCCGGATTTCAAGCTTATAATCTTTCGATCATGACTCAGTGAAATTCAGTGATTTGTCGGTGTTGTTCTGCATTGAAATTAGTGACTTTTGTTCACAGCAAGAATTCCACATAATTAAATCACGAGGCATCTCTTCATGGCACTTGAAAAGATTCTCTGAACATCCCAAGTTTTGCCACTGAAAGTGAAGTGACGTTAGAGACTTGGGGTGCGATTAGCAATTCATCTTTCTGGAAGGAACAACTCTGATGAAATTCTGCCAGTAAACAAAATGTGAGTAACTTTTTGTGTAAACAAGTGTTTTATGTCTCACACTTTTGCACAATAAACTTCAAGGCGTATATTATTGCTGCATAACGTGTGATGTCATCGCGATGCACTGCTAAGTATTCCATCTTCAATTGTCTCTCTCTGAAGCTACGTGCGCTTCCGTGAGAATGTTTTGCGATCTCGTGAGATTCCTCTAAGATTGCTTTCAAGGACTGGAGCGACTTCTCAGTCGATGCTCTTGTAACGCGGAGGCGCACATGACTGAAAAACCTCTTTCGTGAGTGCTTCTGTATTTTTCCTGCCGAAAAAAAAAACAGCGATCGCGTAACCAATTTTCAAGGTGATATTCTCGTCATTTTCGAATGTTTGTCGGCACGCATTTTCCAGTGAATTCTCCACTATTTTGTAGCTTTTTATTGATGTTTTTTTCTCCGTTCACATCTTCTCGGCATAGCCAATAAATCTCATGTGAGATTTTCTCTTGTCGTGTATGTGTGACTCAATAGCTACAAGTTTGCTGAAAGAAGTTGAGTGAAGTAATCGATGATATTGAGCAAAAATTCAACAGAGACACGAGTTGACCTAAAAAGATGAGAAATATCAGTTGCATAGTGTCGATAGTGGTTTTTTTTCTTCTCTCTCCTTCTGCGAGAGGCGACTAATTAATTGAGAGAAATACACCACAATACAATTAAGTTAATGAGATAATGGGCAATATTACAATAGATTAGACAGTGTTATTTAGCATTTACCCACATTTCTTTCACCTCATCTCGCGTTATAACCCATGGAGGGACAATGGCGCAACATTAATTTCTATATAACCTGGGAAGCCCACAGGGGAGAAATGGGAAAATTTAATGCCCTCGCGAATGGACAGATCTGAAGAGAGATGCCAAGTGAAAAAAATGACACACAGCACAAGCAAGAGAAGGTGAGGAAGAAAGCAAAAAGCAGCGGCACTAATTAGAAAGTGTCCAACACTGAAATGGAGAAGATTTATATTCTTCAGGATGGAACGAGAGAGAGAGAGAGACTGTTGCCGAAACGACCACGATAATTCTTCACAGGCAGAGTGGAATTTGTGTGATTATTTTTTGCTGTTACTCCAAGAGATTTCTGTGCTTTGAGGTTTCTTGCCCATGAGAGGAATCGAATGTAGAAGAAGTGCCACATAGGAAATGTGGGTAAAAAAATCACTTCAATCAATGATGCCCAGTGCCTTTTTCTTCACACCATCTCAGCTTGTGAGAGGAGCTGCTCAATGATTTTTCCATTGTCTGCACTTTTCTCAATAGTGCGCTCTCACACCTCTAATTTCTAACATATATCGTCTTATTTGGCGGGGAAGCCATTGAGGAGAGCAATCCCAATTAACAATCGCGGTACAAATGATTTAGCCGAGCTCAGGCGCTGTTTAGGGGAGAGCGAGCTTCTTCGGCTTGAGCCTTTTTATTGAAGAGCTCCAATGCATTCTGATCTTCAAACTATATTTGTCGGTAAAACCCTCCAAAATGGGATGCTTTTTCAACTGTTTTTTTCAGTGGAGTAAATTGAATTTCAAGTAAAGTATGTTCAACGCTAAATCTTCTTAAAACACATATGTGACAAGTTGAGATAATTCCAAGTGGTTTGATTCCACCTCAATCTCTCACCTGAGTATCATTTTTCACATCTTACTTGGAGGCAATCTTATTAATTGCACTCGTGCGCTCCATTTCCACCTTCTCTAGATCAACTCCGCAGTGGAATTTTCCTGGCATTGAGTTGTATCTTGTGTGAGACACACACACACACACACATCATCTAATCACTTTTTCAATTACGAAAATTATCCCTGCCAAGTCTCATAGCACCCAGAATCGGGAGTATAATTTGACAGAGTTGTCCCTTATCAGGAATTCCGAGCATGCTGCTCCCCAACTGCTGCCGTTCTGGGCAAAAATCACCCGAGGAGTGTCGAAATTCGTGTCAATAATCGATAGAGGAGAGTCGGGTAATTTTCTCCTAGGACGCCCATGTGATTTCCCGCCTCGCCCCCAAATCGTGGGAAATTCAGACGATGTCTTCGCGACCGAAAACCGCCACTTGGCACCTTATTCTTTGGCACAGAAAGCTCCCCTCATTTTCTTAAGTAATATCACAAGCAATATATCACTTTATGGCATATTTTATGATTTTTAATTCATCCTATAAATTATACTCTCCCTCAAATGCGCGCCCCAGAATGTGTCCAGAAGAGTGTGATTGTTAAAATACTGAGTATTAATACACAATTTCCTCTCCAATAGATAAATTACGGGAAAATCTTTCTCTCTCTCTCTCTCTGGTTTGTTTGGAAAGTGGAGGAGATATTAATAAAAGCGACGAGTGAATGATTGATTGGATTGTATCTCTCAGTGACTGAGATCAGAGGTCATGGCTGAAGAATTAATTTCGCTGCGGCGTTCTCAATTTTCTTACACACCAACCATCTCTCACCATTGTTAGGGCTTTTTGCCGCAAGTTCGTGTGCTCAAAAGGCAAGATTTCCGTGTGCCAGAAAAGTGTGTGCATCGCACACGCACACAACGGCACAATTAATTGAAATTAATAATGGAAATTATTCATTTTTAATGTCTCTTCTGTGTCACTCTTCATTGACTCTCCTTTGAGAATTTCCACCAACTGTTCGCACAGTGTTGAAGAGCAGTTTGGGGTGCTGCTTAAAAATGACTCAATCATCCCCTCGATAATTCTATTCCTCAAAATTGTATGCCATTGAAGAAGAACAAAGAGGCAGAGTAGTTTGAGGGTTGAACTTAGGGATGACTGAGAGTGAAAAACGATAGCTAATGGCTGTATCCGTTGTGTCTGCTTAAACCCCAACGAAATGTAGCGATTTTTCTCCACAGTTCGGGACAAAAACATCACTCCACCATTAGCATATGTAAATTTTATCCTCATCGTGTTAAGGAGTGCACTATGCTCTCCACTGTGCGCCGGATTCAACCATGCATTCATGCAAGACACACTTGGAACACGCCAGAAAATTCACATTGCAACATCCTTAAAAGTTCTGCGAGAACATCTACACTACCTGCGATAATTTCCCGAGCACTCTGCACTACAAGCATCTCTTCTGAGCTGCTTTTTTTTCCTCAATTTAGCGCTTCATCCTAATGTTTCTCTACTATCTGATATATCTTACCCTCAGCAAATATCTTTCCTGCACCGATAATTGTATTTTCCACTGTACGACAAATGCACTTGCAAATGCAAACCTCATGTCGCGAACACATTGAATTTCCACCCAATTCTGTGCTACAAGAAGCGCACTGAAAATCATCTCAACCCCCTAATTACGATTGAGCTTTTTCCTGTCGGCATGTGCTGAAATTCCTCGGAATTTCCATCCATATACATTAGGATATTTACGGCAACGGAAAACCCCCCGAGTTATTGAGGGGAGTTTATGTAAAATTATCCACGATGATAAATAGAAAAGCCTCCACATTTCTCCCACTCATCGAATTAGCGGGAACATTGAATTTCACTTAAAATGTGAGAAATATCAAAACCAATCCCTCATCCTAAGGCACTCCATTGGGGAAAATGCTTATCGAAACTTTCCATGATTGTGCTTTATGTCCTCGTCCTTGCTTTCATCCCTCTCTCTCTCTACTCAGGGAAATCTCTCGTTCTTCTGATGTGATTTTGAGAAATGCTATTAATGAGAAGTGCACAATTTCGCATTCCAACGATTCCAACGGGTGTGTTTTTCTTCTTCACCTTCCAGAATAATCTCAGGTTGAATTTTACATGGGAAACACGTCGCGTTTTTATCACCCATCCACCCTTTGTCCTCCACGACGCTACCTTTTTCCTCATTTTAACGACCATCCACTCACGGGATTTTTTCTCACCTGCCTCTCGCATCTTCCTATCACCTGCTCAGGGGGCGGGTGGCTCATAAAACGTGTGTTGATGGGATGAGAGAAGTACAAATGGAGTGTACAACGACTCACAATCACCCCATTTCACTCCTTCTGGGCCTCATTCAAGCACTATTCTGTATGTTTTTTTCCCCAATGGAAAAGTGGTTTCCAAGAATGCATTTTTCCTGCAAGCTTCTTCATCGTGTCGCGCTTGTGGAATTTCTTTTAATGCACCATTGCGCTCGATGGCACGCAGAGAAGAGGGCCCTCGAAGCGCACTGAGACAAAATATACTCAATCGCGGCGATGAGGCGCGCAAAAAAAGGGTAAATTGTGTGGGGAGTGGTGTGGCAAAAAGGTGAATTGAGGAGAACCTTTTCTGATGGGCGATGCATGGGAATGAAGCGTGTAAAATGATGAACTTCCTCTGTCTCTATAACCTGGCAGCAAAATCAATGAGAAGTTATTTAAATTGTTCAAGTCATTACCCTTCTTTGCTCGCTTTTTCTACATCCAATCGGATTCTCATGGATCGATTTTGCGGTTTCTTAGTGTCTATTGCCAGCGGAAAGATGCGAAGGTGATGCACTTTGTGGTTGTGTATCGGGGTAAACTGTCTATCATGCACACAAATAGAAAACGTCTCAGTTTTCCCGCGTGAGTCAATAAATGTGTGACCTAAAAATGATAGCGTGATAATTGATTAGACTTTGTTACAATCGATTGCGGTCATTTCCTGGATCACCATCAGGCTTATGTGCAACACACGCATTTCCACGAAAAGCATGAAGGCAATATTTCAGCAATTTTCCACGAAGCGTGTTAAATGGATGTGGCGGGAAGGGGAAAAAGGCCAGCAATGCAATTAACATAATGTTTGTCGGAGTGCAATTGATGATGGAGAGGCATTTGCCATGCCATGGATTATTGATAATCAAATGCCAATATTCAATATTAATTTCCTGAGAGAGATTGCACGTCACAATGCCTGTGAGACATTATCAGCTCTGCAGAGTGTCTCGGTGCTTTCCTAAGAGATCCTAATGCCACTCTTTGCCTTCCTCCAACTCGTCACACACACACATA